TACTGCATGATCTCTTCAATTTGCATGCCGGGACTGTGTGGGTACGGCAGGACCAAGCCACATGAGCAGCAGACCGTGCCACAGCGCCATCTTGGCACCGGAGGTTGACTTATGAAACTGTGCGCATGGCTCTCTTCTTCCTGTGCGCAGGTACTGTAGGCTTTGCACCAGCTTGGGACTTAGAGTTTTTCTGGAAGCATTCCTTCGATTGGGCCTTGAAACTTCGCAGGGGGATCACTTCTGCTTCCTGGCATTCTGCACTGGATTGCTTGCACGGCTGCGCTTAAAACCAGACGCATCCGCGTCTTGACGACGTTTGAAGCCAAATGGCTGACCCTGTCGAGTCAAGCTTCAACATGGCGAGCAACTTTAGGACTTTAGGTCGCTCTTGCGAGGCAAGCAGAAGCAACACCAACAACGATAGCAAGAAGAGGACAAATCCAGTAGCCAATAGGTCAAAGCCACAAGCCAACTCGTGCTGCTGGGACGTGACACATGATGCAACAAACGGAACACCCGGGCGCATGGCACGGGTGCGCTTCGAGCTTTGGAAGCGATTTGGCGACACCTAAGGGCGGTTGGACAGTCTTGCCCTGCTGGAAGTAACCAAGGACATAAACAGCGACTAGCCTTCTCACTCGGAATACCGAAACTTTAACGCAAAGGATGATGCGAGTTCTGTCAGAAGCGCTTATATCTCTACTGGTACCAGTACTGGTACCAAATCATACTCCGACCACCACGACCAGCACCAGCACAACTGCTGCAAAAGCTGCTCCTTACTAATCTTTTCTATCCGTCGTCATAATTCAACTCTATCGTCTTTTGCTCTAGTCTGCACAGAATACATCACTACGACCACGACTGATGTCAATAATGCGACGACGACGACCAGGACGACGGCGGCTGGTGCTGCACAGCCAGTATTGCAATCACCGATAAAACGCCCAGGCTAGGTCTGGTGGAATCAACTGCTGCTTTGACTGGCCGATGCATGCATGGCAATGCTTCTATTGAAAACAGTCCTAGGTTCTCTGTGGCGAGAGTGTTCGATTGCTTTGCCTGTGTAGGTGTACTCCATCTCTTCTTCGGCGCGATGGCAACGGCAAGCTAACGCACTCGTCACGTCGCCCTTGCGTTTGGAAGCTTTGAGTGGTGCTGGGCTACAGGATCCCCGCTAAGCCCAAGGCCGAGCGGTAGCGGCGGTAGCCCGACAGTGGTGAAACCACGCTCCCTAAACCCTATAAGCCCTATAAGCCCTATAAGCCCTATGAGCCCTATAAGCCCTATAAACCCTATAAACCCTAAACCCTGCCGCTACTGCTGTGCAGTCCGTGGATTAGCCTAGCCTCAGCGCGAAACGTCCAATTGAACCAGGTGTGGCTTGCGGAACTTTATGATGGTTGAGCTGTCGGTGTCGGTACTTTGGCAGCATGAACTTCCTAAACCCTAAACCCTAAACCCTAAACCCTGTCTTCATGACATGCAAAGATGTGCCACGGCTGTGAAGAGTTCTGTTTACCATGCCCTCGTGTCGGTACTCACCGAAAGCTTGAGGGCAAACGGCAAACGGCCACATTCACATCATACCCTACCCCCCCAGGTACCTACTATATAGGGCCCTAGGGGCTGCAGTAACCTATATAGTAGGTACTTGGGGGGTTAGGGATAATGAGGAACAGACAGGACTTGGAATCCAATGCATGCAGCTTTGCGCACCGACCCCCGATTCCCAGCCGCCCCATGCGCGGTAGGGCGAGGCGAGGGGGCTTGCCATTGCGGAACCAGGGGTGGAACACCTCTCTGGAGAAGGCTCTGGACCTGGCATACGCTTGGAGGATCCTGGGACTTAGTAAGTAAGGTTATAACTATCTTAATTGGGGTCGTAGTTACTTATAAGTATAGCGACCATATTTATAACCCCAGTTACTAAGTCCCATGATCCTCTAAGCGACTATCAGACTCCCGAAACCGAAGACGAGAGAAGCCCAAGACATGCTCTGATTGACCAAGTCTGGAGCAGCGCAACGTTGGCATCCCAAGAATCCACGGAACTCTTTGAACACACACTGCCGAAGATAAGGTCCTGAAATCCTCGGGCACGCGTCTGTAGAGGCCACCGATAACTACCCATAGGCCCTAAAGTAGTTCCTTTTAAGGAACTACTATGGGGCCTATGGGTAAAGGCCACCGATAACTAAAGGCAGCCTCTGACATTGCAGGGATCTCCTCGTAAGGCAGCGGTCCGCCAAGCACCTGCAAGGGTAAGCCGCAACATGTATCGTGGGCTTGGAACTCCCCAACCCCCCAGGTACCTACTATATAGGGCCCTAGGGGCTCCAGTACCCTATGTAATAGGTACCTGGGCGGTTAGGGGGTGAGGGTATATAGGGTACTAGAGCCCCTAAGGCCCTATATAGTAGGTACCTGGGGGGTTAAGGTGTATTATGGGCTTGGAACTACTCGCGGGTTTGGTCATGTCGGAATTTGCAGCTGCGTGATGACCGGCCTTCGGGTTCCGATGAAGTTTCTACCTTTCTGTCGGCCTTCTTGCATCCGTAGAAAAAGACCCTTATAGTATATTATAGTACATTATAGCATATTATAGTATATTTTTGTGCTTCAAAGTCGCCCTCTCACTCCACTTCACGATCCGCGTATGTATGCGCGTAACATGCATCACCTAACGCACAGCTTAAAGCTCAGAGGACACGCCTTAACATAAGCCTGGGCCGGATTTACACCTGCAACACATGCCAAAGCCCGTGATTCAAAAGTCATCAAAAGTCTACAATGACCTTTGAGACAGGTCGGCGCAGCTACACTTTGATTTATGAGAGCCATTTGTGAGGCCACCACGTGAGTAGAGAAAGAGTGCAGGACCCTGAACTGCAACGACCGACTCCACGAGCCCAAGACCTAAGCTTTCATGGGCAGTCGAAACCGTCTCTTAGGAGAATCCGGCGTCTCTGTGCTGTTGTGAGCAGGCTCCCGTCCCAGCCCTGCCAAGAAGCCTAGAACTTCAGAAACTCCTAACCGTCTCAACCGAGTGAAAGCGGAGAGGACAGGTTCTCCTATGGATGCCTCCACAAGACAACATCCCAAGCTCCAAATGTCCACCTGGAGGCGGCGAGCAGGGAGGACCGTCTGATACTGCTTGGGCTTTTGGTTCTGGTCCGCATATGGGTGCTCAAGGGTTTGGGGTGGAAGTTTCTGCGGTTGTCCAACCAAACGTCCGGATGGAACTTCCACTTCAAGTAGGCCGTGGCGTTCCCTAACCCCTACTACATAGGGTACTGGAGCCCTAAGGCCCTATATAGTAGGTACCTGGGGGGTTAGGGGTTGATGAATCGGCGAGTTCAGAGTCTCAGCTGCGTCTCTTTTGAAACGCACCCAGGGCACAGGCTGAAATTTAACCGGCTTTGGGGTTTCATCGGCTGCCGGTGCATTTATATGTGAGTTTCTGAAAACAAGGGGTACCTTATTTTGGGGTCCTTATAAAAAGGATCCTATTATTTAGGGTACTATATTAGGGTCCCCTATTTTCTGAAACACAAATGTTTGAGGCTTAATTTGGACGAAGTGCTCACATTTAGCCGGCTTTGGGCTTGAATCGGCCGCTGGGGCATGTGGGTAGTTTTCTAAATTAGGATCCCTTTATATAGTACGGCACCCTTATAAAAAAGGGGACCCTAGTTTAGAGAACTACCCAAAACCCAAAACCCTAAACCCTAAACCCAAAACCCAAAACCCTAAATTCTAAA